ACAATAGATATGGCAAGAGCATAAAAAAAAGGCGAAGATGGTCTAAAAATGAGGTTTAGATCGGCATGATTTCAAATTTCAAAATTTTCGAGCAAATTGGCAAAAATTATTTGAAACCAAGGTTTAGACGAGACACGACTTTAGGTTTTAAATATTTTAGGAAATTGGAAAAGTAATTAAAATTTGAAAAAAAATGATTCAAAAATGGGATTCAAATCGACACGACTTCAAATTTCAAAATTTTTGGCAAAGTCTTTGAAATTGGCAAAAATAATCCAAAAACAAGATTTGGATTGACATGACATCAAGTTTCAAATTTTTTTAAGAAAACTAGCAAATTCATCAAAATTAGAAAAAAAGATCCAAAAACTAGGTTCGAATCGACAAGACATCAAGTTTTAAAATTTTTAAGAAAGTTGGCAAAGTCATCAAAATAAAAAAAAATGATTCTAAAATAGGGTTCGGATTGACATGACTCCAAGCATCACATTTTTGTAAGAATAATGAAAAGATCGATTTAATCATCATTATCGGTAAAAATGGTCCGAAAATAGATTTCAAACCAACGTGATTACAAATACCATGACTTTCATGAAAAAAATGATCGAGCAAATTGACGCATCCAGTTAATTATTATCAAGCAACAAATGAATCTATGATTAACAACATAATCTAGCATATCCAATCCAATTGTAAATAGGTGATCATAAAAATAATCACTAAATATTGAATCCTTTTATTTTGCCTCAATATTATCCGAGGTCTTTAACCTTTTTGTAGACTAATACACTACAATATATCTTAAACACTTTAATCAACGTCAACCACTCAAATGACCACATGATCAATTTACATTAATTTATAATTACATAAATTAAATTTAAATAGTAAGACAATTTACTTGTTGAAAAAAATGCCAAAAGGCCAAAGGAATTTTGATGGTTAAAAAAAGATCCGTTCGCCCTTATCAATTCCAATGGAGATTGAGTATTCAATAAATCGAGGAGGAGGAATAACCGTCCGTTGTCAAATCTGAATTTGATGTCAAATAATGCAACTCTTGGTGGTCAAATGTGATGACTGCTATTGTGAATGACAATGAGGGACTACTACCACCAAAGCCGATCTATAGTGTGAATTGCTTGAGATAAATCATTGGCAATGGTTGGTCACAATGGTCGGCTTGAAATAAATTGATGAAGGAGGATACAATGATTAGGGTTGTGACTCGGATTGGGCTATTAGTTATGACGACTCGTTTGTGATAGTGACTATAAGAAAAATTGACCTATGGTGCGAGTTGGTGTGGTTGGACTTCATAGACGAATGAGAGCGAGAGAACTTGTTGGAGTTGACGTTGATAGGCTAACAAGCATTTGGTATCGGGTTATTCTTGCTAAAATCTATCGATGGTGATAAATGACGGTGATCAAAGTTAGTGAGCAATACTAGTTTGAGTGGTTGGTGGTCACCACCTTGTGTGCTCGATCATGGTAACTGGAAGGGGCTTAGGCTTGGTGTGGCCGATCAAAAATTTCAAAGGAATAAGGGCTAATCTGATTTTCTAGAGAGAGAGTGTAGCTAAAAAGTTTTTAGAGAGAGAGTGTCCGGTTAGGGTTTGGAAAAAGAGGGGTTTTTATATTGATTTTTTAAACCAAAAAGCTTGTAGCCCGAGTGGTAGTGGTATCTTATAATAAGAGGTCACGAGTTCAAATCCTAGCGAGATAAGTTCTACTAAGAGCCTTGGGTGCGTGAGTTAAAAAAAATACTAATCTTTTAAGGTTTGTAGGAAAAAATCTGATTCGGTCTTGATTTTATGGACCCATTTTATTTCGGTCTTTTTTCCTCCATTTTGTTTCAATTGCATCCCTCAATTAAACTTTCAAGTCCCTTTTATTATTTTCTCATTTTCATATTTTTTCTTTCTATTTTCTTTCCTTTTTTTTTTTTTTTTTTTGAAGAATTTATGAAATAAATAGGTAAAATTTAGGTGCTAACATATCAACCCCCCTCCTCCACTCCTTCTAACACATTCAACATTTTTCTAGCACATTGATGGCTAGGAGAGTATTTTTCTCCACATTCTAATCACAATCCCATGCTTCTTCTTTAATCTTGCAAACTCGTATAGTTATGTTTTTGGTAGGTTGACGTTTATAGGCTTAGGTGGATTGTTGTTTTCATTTCTAGTAGAAGGAATATATGGTTTATAGAATGGCTTGTTTGCATTATAGGTAGAATATTATGTTGCATAAGGTCTTATCGTAGTATAGATGGATGGTAAAAACTCTTTGGAGGATTTCTAGGCTATTTGGCTATGGCATTCACAAATTCCTCTTGCCATTTTGCCTCGTCAAAAGCTTGTGTTAAGGTTGTAAGTTTCAAAATCTTTAGTATAAGCTTGATATTTTCCTTAAGTTCGCTAATAAAGCTGAAAACAAAGTAGGATTCAAGCAAATGTGGATTGTTTGCGGTCATCAAGAATTTGAGTTCCTCAAAATTTTTAACATATTGTTCTTCATACCTTCCCCGATTGAGCTTATTAAACTCTTCCACCGCATCTTTCATATTGCCAAACCTTCTACACGGATCCTTAACAAATTCTTCCTAATTGCCAAGATCACTTCCCACTACAAATCCTTCAAACCAAATTTCTGCTCTTCCTTCAAGATACATGAAAGCAATCTCCACCCATTGATGTACTAGAATAAAATTAATTTAAAAAAAAAAAATTACATCTCTAAACCCCGCCTCTTGGATTTTTGCCCTCAAACATTTGCAAGTCCACTTTAGGAATGGAAGAATTATAACTTGATTTCACAAATTCGGGTGTTAGTAATGATTCAACCTAATTGGCATGGTGAACAAGTTTTGAAGCCACATTTCCTCCATGTGAGGAACTTAAAGATGATTCAGCTCCTTCTCTCGGTTCCTTATCAATCATAACTGATTTGATTGACTTCATCAAAGCTTCAATTTGAAGCTGCACCTATTGTGTTTGCTCCTCTATATGTTTCTTGTTCGCCCGTAATTTTTCTTGAAATTCCTACCGTAGTTTTTGGAACTATTCATCATGCTTCTTGTTTTGTTCTTCTAATGCTCGCATCCGATTGTTATCCATGATGATTGAAGATCCGTTGGTCCTAAAGGAGCTTTGATACCAATTTGTTAAGAGTTATTGTTTAACAAAGACAAGCCGAAAGAAGATTGAGATGAGAGAGAGAAGATTGAGAGGAGAATCTCAATTTAATTTTTGTTTTCAGTTTAACAAATGAATAAATCTCGCTTTCCTTCTCTCCCTCTTTTATACTAATCCAACTAATTCTTCTAGCTATCTAACCCTAATTACCAGCTCATCAAAGACAATTATACCAACAAATATTTCCTAACTGAATGCCATGTCATTAGTTATTTATTGTACTAACTTTTAACCCTAACATCACCCAAATATAAACGTAACTCCTGTCTCCAATTCTCCTGCACCACAAGTAAACCCACGAAACAAAACCCAAATACCCTCTGCCAAGACCCTCATTTCTCAAGGCCACACAATCTTAGCTCATTTAAGACCAGACCAACTTAAAAGCACAACTTGAATGTGACAGCATGAAACCAACTGGAAGTCGGATTGTTCAAGAAAGAGTAGCTCTATGGAAAGGGATCAGTTGATGTTATTTCCAGAAAACTGATTTGAACCGCGATAACTGTGATTTGTTTTTGTATAGATGTGAGAGTTGAATGGCCATTTAGCATTGTCACTCCAAAACCTTACAATAGTTCCAAATATGAGAATTCATTGGAAAAAAAAAAAAAATCCTTGTAACGAAACTAATGAATCTAGATTTTCCTACTTTCATTCTCTCCATCTAAAGTTGCAGTTAACTGAATGGTGTTCAGACAGAACCAGTTCAAATGGATCAGACAGAGAAAATATTTCAAAATGATGAAGAAGTAAGTTTTCATTATTGCAGCGCTAATTCATAGATATTGATCTTTCTGAAGAGAAAAGGGATCACATTGCAACTTAATTATAAATTATTATTATCATGAGGCACATACAGATTTCTTTCCATTTTCAGCAATTGTCCCCACAGACATAGGGCTAGGAAGATTTAATGCTTTCTTTTTTCTCCTTGACCTTTTCTGAATCTTGTTGGTTTTCATTCTTTTCTAGAGCTTTCTGTCTTAATGCAACCTGCTCATGCAACCTGCTCAATTTTGTATATCTTTTTCAAACCCATTTTCATGAGAATCAGCCATGTTGGCCCCAAATCCATGATTCTTTGTTATCGCTGACAAGTTTTTGGCAGAATGGCAGCTGCAAGAGATAAATCAACAGCCTCATTTAGCAGCTGAAACAATGATAAAATTGGTTATATCTATAATTGGTAATTTCTATTCTTTCTTTTTCTTTTCTTGTTTTGAATTCTTGGTGAGGATCGTCAGGCCACATTAATTAAGCTTATCGATCGAAAAAGGTCGTAGAGGATCTCCATGACCAACATTTGTTCACCCGCCACAGCAAAATACAGGATGTCTTACTCAAGTGAGCTTCATTTTTTACATGTTTCCTTGCTCAAAAATACTTCTCTTGTTCAATAGATAACAGATGTAATTTGATTGACGGAAAAGGGAAATTCAGTAGTAATCCTTCGAACTAAAATGATATTACTATGACCCAAAAGAAAAATAGTGAAAATGGAAAAAATAAAAAAATAAAAACCAAAAATCTCAAGATCTGTACACACTACACACCACTCCTGACAAGGGTGTTCTATTACAAGGCAGCTTGCAGACACCAACTATTTCTCTACAACATCTACGATAGATGCTGAAAAATTGGCATAGAAATAAGACATGATTAGTAACCGGCCTCAATTGCTTGTTCAGCTCCCTGTCCTCATTCTCAACTTATAGGCAGGCTCAAGACTTTCTAAGGTCGAAAGAATATAAGCATTGCCCTCATGAGTGCACTCAGCTTCTACAAATGGTAACCATGTCTATGCTTTATTGTTCCTTCTCCCATCCGACTTCGAATCTGGATTATCACTCTTATCAGCGTCAGAAATCTCCATCTGTGTCTCACCCTCCCCTGCATGGCTTCTCCAGCGCCTCCGATCCTATATTGTCCATCCAGAAGAAGTTTTCAGGTTAATTTTACAGATACATCTACTAACTCAACATGGAAGTAAGACAATCCATATTTCACAGAACCAAAAAAGGATGCTGTGTTTAAAATTTCAGCAATCCATATAACAATGTTAGGTGGAGGAAAAGTGGCCAAATTAGTTTGAATTCTAAAGAAGATTTCAGAATCAAACCTGTCTAGGTATAGGATACTCCTCTGATTCAAGCATGCGAACTACCTGACTCATCTTTGGTCTTTTTTCAGCATCTGGATCAACACATCTTAAAGCAGTTAGAAGAGCCCGTTTAAGGGCACTTGTTGATGGTCTAATCTCTATCATTGGGTCCACCACCTCTTCTGAGCGCCTTCTTGCAACCATCATTTTCAACCATTCCACCAGATTTACCTGAAAGAAGAATCATTCCAAGAGAATTATGAACGTTGGTTCCATTTTATGTTTCACAGGATAGTGAAATCCACATAAACAAGGAGCAAAGAAGACTGCATGATGGAATGAATAAAGCATCTTATTTACACCCCCAAATTCTTGTCTCCATATTTGCACTGACAACATTACTCAAGAAAAGCAAATATAATTTCAAATTCTGGAGATTAAAACATGCCAGTTACTGCTCCAAAGCAAGGGCCTTGCTGCTTTTATGTGGAATTTGATTGCTTTCTGGAAACGGAACATTTATTGCATACCTCATTCTCAGGGCGACCATGATCCACTGGATCTCTTCCTGTAATTGCTTCCAAAAGCACGACTCCAAAGCTATAGACATCGCTTTTCTCATTCAAAAGGCCAGAATTGGCATATTCTGGAGCGACATAACTGAACAATCATTGATTAGGACAGAAATCTTAGCATATATAAGGAAAAAAAAATTAATATAGAGGAAAAGCCAAAGGAAATATTGTTTTCATATCAATGGCAGAGGATCTTCAATAATACAATCAAACTTAGATACAAAGACCAACAGCAAAGAAGGTTGAACGGGCATGCCATTAGTTTGCATGCCGCTGATTGGAAGAAAGAACTCACCCAAAGGTACCCATAACTCTAGTAGTAATATGACTTTTTCCAGCACCCAGCAATTTGGCCAGACCAAAATCAGATATCTTAGCATCGAAGTTGTCATCGATCAATATGTTGCTTGATTTTATGTCTCGATGCACCACTTTTGGCTCAATGGCCTCATGCAGGTAAGCCAGCCTGCAACATGCAATCGGGAGAGAGAATGACAAAATTGCAACATGAATGCAAAAAACTCAGAATGAAGTGAAAATGAACTTACGCCTTAGCAGTGCCAAGGAGAATTTTCATGCGAGCCTCCCAAGTAAGATACCCATGTTGACGCATACCTCCATGTAGCCATTGCTCTAAATTGCCGTTGTTAACATACTCATATACCAACATCCTGAAATTTATGCAGCTATGAGCATGCAAAAGGTGGTGTTCTTTTTAAACATAAGCAATAAGAACAAGCACATTATGGATCATCAATTGCAAGATATTTATAAACAGTTTGATGCACTTGAGGCTAGACATATAACTGGGAAGTCATTACATATCTTCTGTAGTTTTATATCCAAAGAACTATTGGCAACCAGACAAGATCACAAAACAGTATAACACAGATTTTTTTGTACTACTACTTGTATTATAATTCTAGTAAAACATCAAACTAGAGGCAGTTCTGTGACATTCAGAATGTTGACTTCAACTTTCTAAAAAGAAATCTAGCTAAACAATTCTACTTCTCTTCCCAAATAAAGAGAGAAAAAGAAACTATATGATACCTTTGGGTTCCTTCCATGCAATACCCCAGAAGTCGAACTAGGTTTTTATGCCGCACATGACCAATAGCCTCCACTTCAACTCTAAAATCTTTATCAGCTTGTCCTCTGTAAAAGAAACATTAAGAGATCATCAAATTAACTTCAATTCTGCAAAATAGTCCAGTGAAAATTTTATAGGGTTATAATACAAACTTGTACCCAACTTACGGATTGTTAAGGAGCTTCTTAACAGCCACAGGAGTCCCATTAACCAAATGACCCTGATAGACAACTCCATATCCACCATCACCAATAATATTATCCTTGGAAAATCGGTTTGTTGCAACTTGCAGATCTCTGAGGGTAAACCAATGGCCCCATCCCAACTGTGAAAATTCAGGCAGGCCAGACAGAGGTGAAGGAGCAGTCAAAAGATGTGAAGAAGGCCTGCTAGCAGAAGCTACCTTAGTGCCTCCCTCTTCTCCTGATTGAGACCCAACACCATCTTTCTCAACATGATTAAAGGAGCCTGATTGGCTGCTATCATCACCATTTTCTAGCTGGATCAATACTTTCTCTGATTCTTTGTCACTGAATTTGTCATTAAACATGAGGAAACCATCATTATTTGCTGAATTTTGATCAACACCAATCTCTTTAATCTCCTCTGAAACCTTAGGTATTTGTCTAATAGGAAGCATGTTATTTGCTCTTCTCGATTTCTTTCTAAAAGATAGCCACAGTGAAACAACCAGGACAAATACACAAACCACTCCCAGACAGACGATTATTATTACCCACAACTCCATGCCAATGTATTCTTTGGTTAGGCTCTTCTTAAGATCAGAAGCCATTTTGTTTTGATACTAATAAGCCTGCAAGAAAGGTGGGAAGGTGAACAATTTAAACACCACAAATTCCATGTATTCAATAATTCAAACACGCATCCAGCATTTCACTACTAAAGAACTAGCAGACTGTACTGCAGAGGTTGCAATACAATTTTGGCATCAACAAATAATAACAAAGACCTTCCTTTCACATAGAATAGAAATGTCACATAAAACCCACAACAAGAAGCCAAAAAAAAAAAAAGCAAGATACTCCGATTCGAGGGGATGTCTAATAGAGCAAGATATGACATGTCGGCAAGGAGATAAAAGGAGCAAACAGAACACCATAAACGCAAGCACATCTCATTCATTATTGAAAGTTGCATCAAAATAATAAATGAAAAGGAAAGTAACACTTCAAAGTTCTAAATAACAAGATATCCAATAAAAAAATAAAAAATAAAATATCTTTCTTTCTCAAATCACAAACCTGATTTTACAAAACCTGCCTTATTCGCACACAGCTTCCCTGCAATAGCAGACAATAAAAGGGTTGAGGAAGAACTCTAAAGCTCTAAACTTTCTTCTTTAAATCAAAACCCCAATTTGAAATAAGGCAATTAGCATTCACTAAAGCCACCCACATTGTAAACATCTCTAAAAAAATAATAATAATAATAAGAGATTCTTGTAGGGTTTCCAGTTCTGGGATGTTGCCGGATGGGTAAGAAGATGTGGAGTTGTCAGTGGTAGGTAATGAGGAAAGACATGCTTTACATTACATACAATACATATTTTTCTTTATTACATGTCTCTCTTTATATGGATGTAGTGTAATAGAAGCATCAATTTTAGAAGTTCGAAGCTTTCTTTGCTGCTTCCTCAGTTCTTTCTTCCTTTTTTTTTTTTTTTTTTCCTTGAAAGTGACAATTAAACAGAAAGTAGTGTCATTTAAATAATAGAACCTAATGTGGGATTTTTTTATTTTTTATTTTTTTGTGTTTTTAATAGCAGCTTTCTGTTTATGTTAATGTACCTTTATAATACATTTTCAATGCTTTTTCAAGATCTACGTTCAAATAATCATATTTGCAAGGTGTTTAACCTTTGATTCGAATATAGATATCGTGAAAATTTCTATAATATATAATCCGTTTATCTTACTGTCATTTTATATATATATATATATATATATAATTAGATTAGTCTTCTAACAATGAAAGATTATTGGTAATTAAATCTAAAATAGATGGTTCACATGTCAACTAAAATACTAACATATTTAATAACAATTTCCTTTTTCGCAACCTCAGTTATATTGAATTAAAATCCAAAAGCATAACAGGAGGAGAAACCCACTTGCTATTTCAATCTATATATAAAAGGAAGATGAGTCCACCAAGTGATAATGGGATTATTCATAAATTTATCACTTTAATTCCATCTGTAAATTTGATAAACTATTCACTAATTAAAAAAAAATCTAAATGTCTGAACAAATACAATAAAAAATCAAACAGAAAAAAATAACCTTAAAAAGATATATTAATCCTAGCAAACTAAGTTATAATGCTAAAAGATTCAAATTAAAAATCTTCAATAAATATTTTATAGATATTAATATTAAAAAGAAACAATGCTGAATTATTTTGTAAATCTTAGTTTTTATAAAAATTTTGATAAATATATATATATATATATATATATATATATATATATATATATAGATATTCTTGTAGCTATAATTAATATTTCGAGAATCAATGTACACGTTTTTCTTAAATCACCAAAAAAAAAAAAAAAAACTGTTATATATATATATATATAACAAATCTCACAAGAGATGAGTAATTAGCGTGATTGAAGATTTTGTTAAGCGTGAATTAGGGAAAAGGTTAAAAGGTCAAAATGAAAAGATTAAAAAAATAAAATAAAAAAGGATAGTGTGATTTTTTTATTTTTTTTATTTTATCCAAGCAATAGGATATCTTTCTGAGTAAATTATAAATTAGTCGTTTTAGTTTTAAACAATGAATTAATTAGTCCTTTTTGTTTCAAAAAATAAATATTTAATCTTTATATTTTTAAATTTTTTATACTTTAATCATTTTTGTTCTTTTTTTATTTTTTTAAATAAAAATATGAAAAAGGCATGAAAGGATTGATGAGAAAAATTGATATTTTTAAAATAAATTAATATTAAATTAAAGATGATAATACTAATTAAATGATTAAATAATTAATTTTTATATTAACAAAACTAATTAATTCATTTAAAAAAAATATGGGGAGTAATTTATGATTTACTCTATGTTTCCTTACTCATTAATTTTGGGTATTCATAAATTTTTCTCCTTGTGTTTCAATGTGATCTTATTTGATTTGATTTGACGATGAATTTTGTTTTTCAATGGCTTGAAAATAGAGAGAGGTTTTGCTGGGTGGTGGTAGTCAAAGAAACAGACTGGACACCATACTTACGATGGTTTGTTTTTATCCTTATATGACCAAAATGACCTTGTTTTATTAATGTTAGAAAGAAGGATGTAATGTTGGTGTATGGGCAGGAGAATCAAGTAGGGTTGTCCCCACAAGACGACTCACAATGTTTTGCCAGAATTGTTATGCAATTATGTCAAAATTTCAAAATTATTATACAGCATAATTGCTGTTATAATGAAATTTCCAGTCTTTCTGATATGGAAGGTGTAAAGGAATAATCATATGGTGGCATGGGGAAGCTACAGAAGCTACTAAATGTAGATGACTGACAGGGAAAGCAAACAAGCTACCCCCACATTCAGATTCTACTTTCTTTTTTTTTTTTTTTTTGTACATTTATTTATTTAACTTCACAACAATACTTTTGCTTGTTAAATTAATAACCCATTCCCATAAGTTGAAATTGAAAGGCATTCTATTCTATTTGTATTGTATAACAGACGAAATTAAATTTAATAATTGAGAAGCAATCCTTAGTAGTAAACCAAGAGAAAGACTTGACGTGTCCTAAATTGCTTTTACGGTCCTAAGATCTTGTACAAACTCCAAAGTCTTTGTTGGTGGCAAATTAATGATATAAATCCCCTAGAACCAGTGCAAGCTCTAATGGAATTGAGTCATTTAGCTTGTAGTCATGTTTGTCAACCTTAAGCTGCTGAGACGGGTCCAATATTGCATACTCAACCGCATGCAAGCCAGATCCTAAAGCCCTACTCGTCAGATTGCTTCACATGTGAATTACTTCTTACTTGTTGGGGGAAAAAAATGCTTTTTAGATGTAGTTTTTGCTAATATTATTACCAATACAAAAACACCATTTTTTTATTATTTATTACACTTTGTTTTTAAACAATAAACATATTTTTAAATCTATTTTTACTTATCGAAAATTAAAATCTCTACACGATTTTGAACAGACTATCTATGTTCAACAACTTAATTTATTCATAATTTTTTTTCTCTCGTGTTCTTCTTTCAATTCATATAAGATATGCTAATCAAGGTGGACATCTTTGACGCAAGCTATAGAATTCACGCTGGCTCAATACCCTTATGTCTCATGAGAAAACGAGCATGCCAAAATCACACGGTTTTATTTATTTCCACAATTAAGTTTGAGATTGGAGTTGAAACTATATATATATATATTATAATAAATGAAAGAAACTTCATCTTATCGTAAACGAAGTTAGCTGAACTTTATTTTCGTCTATAATTTCGTTCTGTTGATCATAGCTTAAGCTTGTTTACGTGGCATGAATAATTTAATAAAGCAGAGATCTTCGCTTTTGGAACACTAAATTAACAGGCCCCGCCAGAAAGGAAAAATGGAGCAAGATTAGAGCTTTGCGTTAAATCAATTGTCGTAAACTCTACTTTAAAGTTTAAAAGTGAGATCAAAGAGAAGAGCGATCCCTAAAGTACATAAAATACGGAAGAGAAAAATAAATTGGAGATTTTAAGGTAAATTTAATTTGACATAAGGATCTATATACATGCCATGAGAATTTTATATAACTACGAAAAAAAAGATAAGAATTATATATATATATATATATAAAGCATCCATGAGTCTCCTTAACCCCTGCAACTAGTTTTAGTCCCAATGGCTGACAATAATTAGAAATTGTACATGTCTTCATACATAGAGAGAGAAAAAATTGAGAGAGAGCTACATTTTTTAATTAAGTTTTACCTCAATTAAGATTAAGTTTATAACTCTTCATACTAAACTAATATAATAATAAGTTTAGTTTTTTATCGACTATTGGACTATCTCTTTAAACTAAATTAATTTAAATTTGATATCATTAAATAATAATTATAATTACTTATTCATAAATAATAAAAATTGAATCTTGACTTTAATCAAACCAAAACAATTATCTTACTATTAAATTATATTCTTGGTGTGACATGGGTTTATAACTTGCCAATTATAGGTGTGAATTACTAAGAGGAAGAGAAAATTCAGGAAATATTTATTATTCAAAATCAAGAACTGAGTAATTAAAAAAGACCTTACAATGTTACTAAAAACTAAAAGTACTAAAGCTTAATTAGGTTAGGTTAAATGTTTTTCCATCACTTTCCCTTTTTTATATATTTACGGCAAAAAGGGACTTAAGCCGGCTGGTCAATGGCATTCCCTTCTAATTATCTCATGGTTCTAATTAACTTCTTAATGATTCGTATTGTCTCAATGATGAAAGCAACACTAAATTTCAATATAATTTTCCCCAACAAACTTTGACTGCATGCTTTTATAAATTTCGTTGTTTCTTTCTTGAAATTTTATGAAAATATGGCTCGATCGGTACTCTTGCTGCTATAGGAAGGGAAGTAAGAACAAAAATGAACCATGTCTAGAATGGATTCCAGAAGCATATATATATATATATATAGTAGCTAGGTTGCAAGTATTCTTCTTATGATTATTTTTCGAAAAGCAGGAAAAAAATTGATGTGAAGTTAGGTTAGTCCTTGCTAAATAGAAGTTTGGAATAAATTATAAATTA